CACCCACAGGCAGATTGTCCCAGCACAAGCAGAAACGGCTGGGACAAAAATCAAACCAAAGAGACACAGGCAGAGGGAGAGGCTCCATCCCCTTGTTGCCCTAAGCAGCATCTGTTACTGTACAGCCCAAAACAGACTATCAAGAACATGGCCTAAGAGCAGGCAGAAAACAGCTTTTGTTGTTACTGAGCCGCAGCTCTTTTCAGACTAAACACCCAGCTCAGCTCTGGACAGGATCAAAGCCAAGTGTTTCAGCACTTTCCGTACTGTCCTCTGTCCTTCAACAACAATATTACAGCCATGCTGGAACCACACACAGCTTTTCCTTTCTTTGAGGTACTGCAGTGCAGATCAACGGAACAGTCATTAAAGGGATAAACCCACTATATATAATACTGCTATTTACATCTTTAAGGCATACTTTTTACTTTAGCAAGTGTAACTTTTCTTTCAATTCTACAAATATTTCAGTTATTCATCTACAGTCTTTCAAGTGTATTCCTCCTTGGTGTTCCCTACGATGAAAACATTCAGGCATGAAATATCACTCTACCTTACATGACAACCTCACCCACATCCATAATTCTTGAATTCAAACCCTAATTATACTCCATAGCCTAAACCAAATTGGGAGATTCCCAATTAGAACTGAAGTGGCTGTACACGCCAAACCCTGAAGTAACACTAACTAAAATACTTAAAGGATAACAAGAAAAGAGCTACTACTCAAAGTCACAGTAGTAAAGTTACCAAACAGCCCTTGGTTTCTCTGAATGTTATACACAATGATACAACAGAACATAAGAAAAATGAGATTTCAGAAATTCATGCATACTAATTGCTGTTAAATACTTCACACATCAGAAACCGTTGGTATTCCAGCATGCTATTTAACTTGCTCCTACCTTATCATTGGTGTCCAACACAATTGTGCTGTGCCTCCATTTTGTTAAAACTATTGGTTCTTGTAGCCTCCTGTCCAGACTCCTACTCTTTATTATATCTCTTTGCTGCTGTGGTGAAGCATTATACTAAAGAAGAAAAAAATGAAACTATTAGTAGAATCTAATTCATGCAAACAAGACTTGGACATACCACTCATACATCTCAGCAGTGCAAACTTTCAGATTCCTGATGCCACCCAAAGATATGAAGACAGTCTTGGTTTTGTTTTGCATTTAGTCTTCAGAACTGTCCTTTCTGCTGTAGGCCTCTCCAAGGCAGTTACTAAGACTGGCCTGTTGGGATAATATTCTCCGTTGGCAGATGGATGTTTCATTTCTTATGCAACAGCTTACCGCTGGTTTTGCAACCAACCAGCACATTGAGAACCACCAAGAAATTAGAATAAACACAAGATTTAAACATTCACTCTTCATATTGCACTGACAGTACTATACCACGTTGTCCAGCTCTTGGGTAAAAAAGGAAAACCCCGTTATCCTGCAGTAAGGTATTAAGATGGAGAGTTATGATTGCCTGGGTACGACCCTTTGACCCAAAGGTTTGGGATGCCCAGGAGCAGAGACACAAGGGTGAGGACTTGCTTTTCCAGAATAATCACATCAAATTACTTATAAAATAATTTGCTGGTGTGTAATGTACTTAAGCATGGAAAAATAAATATTTAGCAGGAAATAGTTTTAAGACTCTGCAGAGCTGTAATGGCCAAGGAGAGAATGGATTTATCATAACAGGCTTTCTAATAACTCAATAGCATCCAAAGATGTACAGGCTCAGAAAAGGTCATGAGAAGGACTCAGCATTTAATTAGATCTCAGCATTGCAGCATACTTATCATTAGTACCATTGCCATTTTAAATTATCACCACCAACACTGAGGTAGCGTTATAAACAACTATAAATGTGTTTGAAAGTTTAATACTGAAAATACAAAGAAGAAAAGACATCAGCGTATGAGGTTTTCAGCCACTAAAAATCTCATTCTTTCTATTCTGCATCAGAAGACTAAAATCTGCAGGCAGAAAGAAACATAAGGCAGCATCTGCAGAATCATGTAAAGAGCTAGAATTCACTGGGTAAGCAGTAACAAGCTGAGTGGTGCAGCTGACAGGCCTGAGGGATGGGATGTCATCCAGAGGGATCCGGACCAGCTGGAACAGTGAGCCCACATTCAAGGTTCAACAAGGCCAAGTCCTGCATCTGGGTCGGGGCAACCCCTAGTATCAATACAGACTGGGGGATGAACGGATTGAGAGCAGCCCTGAGGAGAAGGACTTGGGTGTACTGGGGGATGAAAAGCTGCACATGAGCCACCAACATGCAGTCACAGCCCAGAAGGCCAACCATATACTGGGCTGCATGAAAAGCAGTGTGGCCAGCAGGTCAAGGGAAGGGATTCTGCCCCTCTGCTCCACTCTGGTGAGACCTCACCTGGAGTCCCATGTCCAGCTCTGGAGCCCTCAACACAGGAAAGACATGGACCTGTTGGAATGGGTCCAGAGGAGGCCACAAAAATGATCAGAGGGCTGGAACACCTCTGCTATGAGGAAAGGCTGAGAGAGTTGGGGCTGTTCAGCCTGCAGAAGGGAAGGCTGAGGGGACATCTTATTGTGGCCTTTCAGTACTTAAAGGGGGCTTATAAGAGAGATGGGGACAATTTTTTTAGTAAGGCCTGTTGTGATAGGACAAGGAGTAATGGCTTTAAACTAAGGGAGGTAGATTTAGATTGGATAGAAGGAAGAAATTTTTTATGATAAGGGTGGTGAAACACTTGCACAGGTTGCCCGGAGAGGTGGTCCATGTCCCCTCCCCGGAGACATTCCAGGTCAGGCTGGACGTGGCTCTGAGCAATGTGACCTAGTTGTAGATGTCCCTGCTCACTGCGGGGGGGGTTGGGCTAGATGACCTCTGCAAGTCCCTTCCAACCCAAAACATTCTATGATTTTAACAAACGAAAGTCAAGTGCCCTTTTTATTTGAAAAGGCTGAAGTAATAATCTTTCCAAGCACACTGAATTCTAAAGTTTTGCTACTGATTCCTACTGTAAGCTCAGAGTCTCAGGTCTTCAAAGACAGAACAACCTGTACCTACACATACCAACGAAGCATGGCAAGGTTTAACCTAAATAACATAAATTCTAAATTTAAGCTAAATTGCATAACGCAATTACATTTATTGTGCAAATAAAGAACCAGCATTACGACCACCATGGCAGACACTATGCTTGTGTTAGCCTTGTATTTTACTACGAACAGAGTTAGTGCTCCACTAAGTCAACAGATGCTTAATAGGTAAATAATTGTAGTGTTTCATTAAATTATTTCAATATGCACAAGAGTAGTAAAATATTCCCAGGTGAATGGATCTTGCAGCACTGAGAATAAAATTTAGCAGTTCATGTACAGACAGCAATGTATTGGTTGGCACTGCAGAAATTCATGTCGGACTGCACTGACTTTGTACCGGGTTCAGCACACTTACACTCACGTGACATCTGCTTCCCTACAACGGTGAGGCTTAAACAACTCTTAGTTTGTCCCCTTGTTAAATCAAAAGCTGAACCATCATTTATGCTGCAAGGAATCTAATACTAGGTTACTTTCTTGTTATGGAAATACCCACTCTGCAGGTGCTCCTACAACTCAAACTGTGGCAGCAAGCTAAGCAATATGCAGCAAAATTGCCTGCCCATATTACAACGAAGAGCTAAACAATTTTCAGCAAAACTATGTCTAAATCACAGAAGGTTGCCACAAACAGTATTGCTTGCAGTAGTTCTAAAGCATTTAAGTGGGCAATTCAAACATATTTCTTGCTATGAAACAGAACCATTTATTTCAGAAACAGATTTACACTTCAGTCACACTGGTGAATATTATTTACAGAAACCCTCCATGCATTTTCCTTTGGAGCCACCTGAGGAATTTAACTTTAAACAGTCAAAGACTTATTTCAAAGTAATTTATCTTGAATTTAAATCTATGTTAAGAGTTACAATGTAGATACAGGTGATCTATATTTAAAAGGTGCCTTTGATACCATCATGAGCCATCAGGAGTTAACTTTTCTAACAGACAACCCCATCTTGAAGGAGAAACGACCTGTAAAGTAGTATGAAATTCTAGTTTCACAAAATGTATTTAACAAGAAAGCAAAGCAACAATGCATAGAGCTCATTAACAAAGCACTGCTAACAACTCAGGAACACTGAGCAATACGCATCTTAGCAGCTTAAATAAGCAATATAAACAGTGTTAGTAAACTCACAAGTCTTTAAAGGCAACATCTGACATTTTTGCCTCATCTCACACTAGAGGCGTTAAGTAAACATTTTTCACTCAGGTGTTCATGGGTTTTGCTTGTTTTATTCATTACAAATAGCAGAACACATGGGGGGGGGGGAAAGCTGGGCTGAAGACAAGCTTCCACTTTTAAAACAAATAGATTGGTCTGTGATCTCCAAAGAGAGTGATCAGAGTGAGGCACAGACACTTTTTCAGATGCTGTATTATGCAGCTGAACTCACCATCCTCTAGACCACGTAGCGTCCACTGGCTAGGGAGGAGCAGCCAGAGCTAGTAGCCTTGCCAGGTCAGATGACACCACCTCTGCTACTCTTTGGTGTCCCCCCCACCCAATCTTCTTAGCTCAGACTTGCAGAACAGTTTCAGGTCAGATTCACTTATTGGCACTCTACAGGACTCCTACCTGCAGAGGTGTTGCCTCTCCTACAGGCATTTACAATGATATTTCCCACTCTATCAGCAACAATTAGCAACTAGGTTGGGCTCTCCTTCCCTCACGCAAAAATCTTATTTTTACATAACTGTAAGAAGGCTTTCTACGCCTAAGCCTTTGTGTAATCTGGAAGACAGAGATCAGACAAGAGCCATACATTGCAATAAAACTGACCCACATTCAAGCCTAAGCATTGGTCTGCTACAACACAAGCCTTAATAGCATCTTCTTAGGGTGTGATGTTATTTTCTTAATTCTAAAGCTTTTGATAATGTAGCACACAACTCCAAATACACACACCACTGCTCCTTCAAAATCCTCCACAAACTCAATTTTGTCCCATTACATTAACACCTCTGGCACATCACCTCAGTTTGTTCCTCGTTTTATTGCGAGCATCTGCCACCAGGAAGGGAGCAAGTCATTGGTACGCTGACTGCGTGTACCAGGTAACACAGACTGCTTGTTGTAACACCTCTTGGCACAGGGTAAGGACACCAGTGGTGTAAATTCAGGTCACACAGGGTTATGGTTATCTTCACTGCTGAATTCGTTGAATGCCTTCACCAGCTACTTAAGAGCTTTCTTTGCCTTAGTATAAAATTTTCTAACCCTCTCAACTGTTCGAGTGATTTATATTTAACTTTTAACCTGACACATGGCATGGATGAAGGCTCTATCCTAGCCTAATTGTGACTGAAATAAATGTAACGCCTCTGAGTTATTTGTAGCAGTTGTCCTCATTCTTACAGGGATGACACAGATCTGTCAGCTTCAAGAAACAGAAAAAAAGATTCTTCTTGGTTTGTGTTAACAACGCCCTTAGCCAGATGAAACGAACTGGGCGAGTAAAGGGAGAAAAGAGGGGGAAGCAACACACAGTGCAAGTTAGCAAAGACCCACGGTCAAGCATTTTACTCTACCTTCCTGCAATCAGAGATCAAAACCACAGAGTTTAAAAATGCCATGATATCTTAAGTACCTTTTAGCACATTATATACTCTACCATGACACCAGTTGTCCCAGACTGTCTGAAATCGAAGATTTTATTTAAAAAAGTTTAAATGTTGCCTCAGAACAAAACCACTCTCTAGTGCTTCTACTGTCATTGGGTTTGAATGAAGTTTTTTGGCACTGCAGTGGACATAACACCTATGTTACAACTTTTGCTTTTCTTATCACCTAAATAAACAATACATTTTTCTTAAACCTACACAAATACAAAAGAATTCTTTTTGTCTTTTTAAGGACTTCATTCCCTTCCTTTCTCTGGGGAAAGAAGATTCCTCATTCTCTGCCATAGGATGTCTCTATTCTCCTTGCTGTCTTGGATGTCCACTGCTTCACCTTCTAACCCTCAGGATTACTAAGACTGCTGATCTTTGAAGAGCTCCAAGTCAACACTGATTGCCACAGGCCCTGTTGCTTGCCCAGAGAACAGCTGGGGGCACTTCCACCCCCCATCTTATTTGGGAGGAGGGGATGGGATCCACCAAACACCAGGGCAAATGAGGAAGACCAGACCAGGCCTCTTCAGTACAAATATACGCATTAAAAGAGAAACGGGGGGTGGATCTGATTGCCTCCTCACACTTCTCTTGGGTTTGTCATATCACTTGCACTTTTGTCCTTAAAAACCACCTACATCTTCATATTAGCTGAGACTGTCTCAACTTTTGCCAAGCAATCCCAAATTTTATGACAAGAACGTGAAGATGATTCACTATTGCTAATGATACTGTTTAGTGCATGGACTTTAAGTCAATATGAATGTCAACACACACGTATTTTCCTTCAAATCAAGTAGCATAGCTCAGAAGGCAGCAGATTTGCCATAAGACAACCAGGCCCTATTTATATGTTCTCATCTTTATTTTCTTTCACCTTTTTATTGCCTGGTATCTTCCTGGTATTACCTGCATTATGTTTTAGTGTCATTTTTCCAATAGCATGCCCCGTTTGACAGCATCCAGGTCTCCAGCAGAAAAATCTTTCACTGGAGTATCAGAATTGAGGCCCCTGAGCTCATGCTCGATGTTGACAGTGCGCAGGGAGTGAATTACCAGACTGCTGGTCTAAGACTGCCAAAACTGAAGCTCCTCTAACCTAGTGCTTCCTCTGTGGATACAGCAAGAGGAGCTGATACTGCAGGAACTTCTGAGAAGAGAAAGTGTAACTGCAGTACCACAGTCTGTAAATATTAGCACCAGAACTACGAGTTCACTCCACAGGCTTATAGTATATGCATTTTCTTTCAAAGTCTGCTCTCGGATCAGAGAGCTCAGTCAGAGCATGGCCAAGCATCACGCTGTTACATTGGCTATCAGCCTAGGAACGCATTTTGAAAGCTGAGAGACCATTAATCTCTCATCATTATTAGGTCGTCCTCTCTGCCTCCCCTTTGAGCTACTTGTTCAATATTTATTACATAGTTTCCCTCACTTTGTCATTTTGATAAATGATCTTTTTTAAACTTCATAAATTAGAGAGTTCTCATTCCTGAGATCAATTTAATTTTCTCCCCCACCCCCCAACATAGATTCCTTATTTGCTTAAATTATGGAATTTGCATTAGAAAACTAGATTTCTGGAATAGGGTTGTAGTCTTCCTCAACACCATTTAGATACTATTCATTCACTACACAGGAAATAAACATGTTTTATCATCGTGATCTACACAGGAATGAACTTTTATTTGCTGATTTATCCATTTTTCTTTTTTTTTTTTAATAATTGACAAGAACCAACAACTGAATGCAGCAGAATACACAGGCGTAAGTGAAAACTCGAAGTCTTTTGCAAGACGTAGTACAAATTATGGTTAAAGATTATTACCCATTTTAAAGAATAATTCAGCATTTTCCTCTCTTTCACTGCAAAAAGCTGGGTCATGTTCATCATGAGCCTTAACAGACTTTTTAGCAGTTGTCAAAGCTACTCCAAGATGTCATTTCAGCCAAAGGCATTCAGCTATTCCTAGATGTTATTTAAATTTACATGACTGGAGGGCTTTCCATGAGGTTGTCTAAAGTAATTTGTTTTGTAACCGCCCCCCCCAACATATACCCTCACAATTTTTAACACACATATAAGAATACTGGAAGCTTTATTCTCAAGCATGTTCACGCAGTTAATGCTGTAACAGTGAAGGTTTTTAATGTTACAGTATTAGCTCAGCTAATGTGCTATTTTCCAGAAATTTCTGGACAATTTTTAGTTCCAACAAAATCCAGATTATTAAGAACCACCTAACAAAAAGATTCTCTTCTTTTTCTAGTTTAACAGCACTACATGACCATGCTATTCCATCACTATTTCTCAACAAATTTTGGAAGGCAGTATTCGAAATACATACACTGGGAAAACACTAAGAGTAGGGGTTTTTTTACTAGCAACCTAATTTTCATTTAAGCAAAAGTCACAATGCTGAAGTCTTCCTATGGTTTTCGCTCACCACTCGAGAGAGTTTTTAATACAGATTATTTTTCCTCAAAGCAGTTCTGTGATCTGCATTGTCTTTCCAATTCATTTGTTCCCAAGCACGTCTGGAACCAGCTTCAGTAAGATTTTTGAGAGACTAATCTTTAATCACGCTTCAATTACTCTAAGTGTAAAACATCTCTGCTGTATATAGTTACATAAACTTGCTAAATCTTTTGCTGAAGTATTTTATCTATTCCACAGCATTTAAAGTTAAAAACTAAGGATTTCTGGAATTACAAAGGGTCTTGGATTATGAATCCAAGAGTCAATCACTCCTTTACTTCTGCTAACCTTGTATTTGGTGCCACCTAACATTTACTAGTTTCAAGAAGGAATTGGAGAGTACATTCGGCCCAAATGGCTCATAAGACATAATGTTCAACAAAAATTTGTAACAGCAATATGTGATGATTCTCACATGAACAAGAACTAAAGCATATCAGATCACAAACTCCAACCCAGGGCTATGTTTCATTCTGTAGGTAGCTATCAATTCAGCTCAGACGTTTGTTCTGAACCACTGGAATATCACACGTGAACACACAAATATTTGACCCCATCCCTTTATGTTAATATGCCTCAGGTAACAGTTCTGGATTATCTTTGTGACTTCTTGTAGTTGGATTAAAGTCAACTCCATTTGCTATTTAGTTCAAACCCAAACCCAACTGATTTTAGTGGAAAGTAACTTCTTCACAGTCAAAACTTTCTGCATTGCAGAAGCCATAGAATGAAGTACCCAAGACATTATTCCCCCAAATTAACTTTAATTATACATACTGAACTAACAGTTGCTTCTGGTAAAACTTGCTGTAGCAGATTTTCAGATTTCTATTTAATCTAATAGATAATCAATAGCTAAGTAGCTTTTAAAATCAATAATTACAGATTATATTGTTAGGTTTGTTTAAGTTACAAAATTTAAGTTACCTAACACAGCAGAGCAACATAGGAGAATTCACAAAGCTAAGTCAACTCTTCAGTGACTCAGCTACAAATTCTTCTACGGATGTAACAAGACAGTCTAGTATATAGCTTCATTCATAAATTTCAATGTAAATATTTTCTTACAAATATTAGGAAAGCACTGTCTTTTAAGGTTGCTGCTTCCTAAGTGGAAGTGACCTGGGACACTGGTGTTCGGACAGATGAAACAGTAATTGAGAAACATGCTCTTTCATAGTTACACACACAAACCTGGGTGAAATGTCTTTTTTTACTGGTCATCTTACTATGTAGGATTGAACAAACATCCCCATAGCAGGACATATGTGTGCAACTACATTATGACAAATGTACTACAGTTTTTTCAAAGTGAAAATGAGAATTAAATAGTATCAGGTACATCCTCAGACTACCAACTGTCCCTAGCTCTGCCACTTTCCCACAAATTCCTATTTTCATTTCAAAATTAATAAACACCAGAACACACTTATGGTGAAACTGTGTCATCCTCAAAGATACCACAAAACTCTGCTGAAACGTTTGTTTTTCAACACCTGTCTGTAAAAGCATTTTGGAGGGAACTAAAAATAGACTACAGTTTCTTAGGAACATTCAGCAGTGAAAAAAAACCGAATTCTTTTTTCCTACAGAGGTTTTCTTTATCACAGCAAAGTCACAGACATTATTCTGCAGCTTTGGATGAAAAGCTCAGTTCAGCAAAGACACAAGATTTTCTCTGACATCTGCATAGTTACATACATCCATTTTTCATGTCCTCGAGGATATTTTTTTCTCTTCACAACCAGAAATTCCACAAAAACGCAAGAAATAACCAAGCGCAACATATACATCCTCTTGTTGTGAATAACTCCCATTAAAGGCCCCACAGAACATTTATTGAGGAGGAAGGGAAAGCCCCAAGTTGTCAAAGTTTCTTTTCCAGGTCACTCACCTTAGGTAACTCCCACTCTGATCGGGAACCATCAGCACTGTAGTAGTATGGTCTACCTTGTTCATCTGCGTGTTTTATCCACTGTAGAAAGAAATGTGGTGATTGGAAATGTAATCAGAGTGGCAGTCGTAACATAGTAAGTCTCTGGCAATTGGGATTTAAAGTTAATTTTTAATGAAGTGCCATCCATTTCAGCAGTGTCTAGTGCACAGCCTCCGTTAACTAATCAAGGTTAGTCAACAACGCCAGCAACACAGTTTTGAGATTCCTGAATTGGGTTCACTAGTATTTTTTTTCCTTCTGTAACTCCTCAGAAAACAGTCCTGCAATATCACACACGAGATTGTGACAAACAGATATTTTTGGAGATGGCAGATCTTGCTGTTCTCAATGTTACGGTGTCAGTTTACGGAGGCACAGTCTTTGCATCAGATCTGTGTAAGGATTTTATACATAAAATTAAAGAATTACAAGAAGCTCAACCGGCAACTGCTGATAATTTAAGACACAATCGCACTTGAACAACTCTGTTTTTAAAACGTCAATAGGAACATGAGATGTAGTTCCTAAATAAATCATGAAGACGACAGTATAATTTCTGAAACCTCTATAAGCAGCTCCTACAATGAAAGGGGTAGAACTGACAACTGCGAGTAGGTATGCAGAAAGGAAAGAACCATAATGAGCAAAAGTCTACAAGACGACGCACAGAAACACTCATGGCAAAGCTCTTAAGTGAAGCAGGTTTCACAAAAGTGATAGCAAACGCTGTTTTCTATCAATCCCAGTGCAATTTAAAGAAAAAGTTTGTGTATTTGCCATAACATAGGCATGCGCTCTACAGATGTTTAACAGAAAGAGATTAAGCAGGAAAAAATTCCAAAACTGACATAAAACTCAATTATTTAAAAACTTCTTTCAAAAAAACCTTGCATACATCAACCAGAGAAGAGGTGGTGTTATAATACCAAACACTGACCACTGTTTCAATGAACACTTTTTGAAGTCAAAAAAACTAAAATGCAACTTCAGTGAACAATTACAAAAATGGACTGCTTTACAAATATAAGCAAATACTGTCATTTATCCTACTTGGGAGAAATTTTTATGACGTGCCCAGAATCACACTGAGTTGTCAGTAGCAATTACATACTTAGAACAGAACTTAAATCTGCTGATACGGCTGTAGTCTAATTAAGAAGTTTGTCTACATCTGAAAGCAGCAGTGAAAAATCTCTAGTAAAGTAAAAGATGAAACTGATAAACCAGCATTATTTTCAGTTCGAAATCATCCTAACTGAAAGGCCTATACAGACAAGGGCAGCTCTTAACAGGCAGTAAGAAAAACATTATACTGGTATGGAGTTCATTACTGAAGTGTAACCAAGAGGATGGGGAAGGCATGAATTTAAAAAGTTATACATATATTCATTTAATATAATCTGATACCCAACTGGAAATAAGAAAGCTTTTTTTAAATAGTAAAGAACATACATAAGGAAAAGTCAGTTCAGTTGCTAAAGTTTCACGCATATTTAAAAACCAAAAGGAGATACTGCTGAGGTATGCTCTTCACATCTAGAAACGAAATCTGCATTTCTAACAGTGAATTAGTGGAAAAGATTTAGAACACGCAACGAGAAGAAGGAAAAAGTACCTTTTCATTAGTATAGTCATTGGTATATAAGGTTTGACCATGTTCATCCAACTCTTCTGACCAACCCTTTGGAGGAGAACCATACTGACTATCTGACTGGCTGTAACAAGAACTGTGGTCGTTTTCTTCTGATGAAAGATGCTACAAGTAGTCAGAAACATACAAGGCAGTTTTGAGAATGAAAGTGCTTTAAAATCTGAAAGATCAAAGATTATTTGACTAGAAAGAGAATAGTAATAAATTCAGGGAGTTCACATTAATATATCTTACATCAGAGAATAAGAGATGCATTTTTACAGTACAGAAATATTCGATAATCGCTAGGCAATTCAAAGTATTTTCAGAACAATTTCAGCTACTCAAATTTAAACTCCGATTTTTTTGCCAATCTAAGTTTTATTTCCACAAATTTACTTTACTGAACGATGAAGAGTTACCTTTAGTAACCCACATTGCCTCCAAAAACTTGGCAGACCTGCTACCTTGGTTTTCTGGCAACATCCCAACTTTCATATCTAAATCCTTTTCTTCCCTTCCCAAATAGTATCTGGAAACACAATAATCATTAGGACAACTTGAAACTCCAGTTTCATAGGTCCTAGCACTTTACGGTACCGTGCAACGCATCCTACAATATTAGGAATTTCCATTCTTCTCCTTCCAACTCTGGTGCGTGTGACAAAGAGCAATGCAAAAACAAGGCTTTCTACCAGGCACAGCTAGCTGAGGTGTAAGATTATAATTGACCTCCACCTTCAGAAAATAATGTAAGGAATAAATTCGACGTGTAAAGTAGAAAAAAGATTTTGCACACACACATTAAACAATCGCTGTTCCCTTGTACACCTGGTTCATCTCCTTGCTAAGGTATTGTAGTATTATTCAAAGCATCCATCCCATACACCAAAGAAAAAAATCTGCCTGCATTCATCTCCCACAACAATATCTCCGTGCCACAGTCTCCCGAGGAACTCGGGGCAGGTTTCCTTTCACAATCTCTTGGATCCTTGGCTAACAGGAGGCATAGCACTTCAGGAGGGAACACAACCTGCTATTCAGAAATGATAATAGTTAAATATTGACTAAGGTTCTATAACACAAGCATAAGGGTTTTGAGGAAAACTATAAAGCAGGAGACAGGCAGAATTTCAATTTTAAACTAGAAAAAAAACCTCTCCTGAAAAACTGAAATCTTACCAAAAAATATCCAGGCATCAGAAACTCACCAGTTTTTAAAAGTCAATGCTTTCAGAGACTACGTATTTATGACATTTTCAAATGATTATTACACAGGTTTTTGGTGTTACCTTTCCGAGTGCCTCACCACTTGTGTGACACAAACTCCCTACACTGACACGAGCCAGCTTACCAAGCACAGCAAAACCCATTGGAAATTTTAATGTCTATTAATAAAGTAACACAAAAAAAAAAATGTAAGTGTCCTCCACAGCCTACAGGATACAAACATGTAAACTATGGATTAAACAATGCTACCTCTCTTGCATGTAACATGAAATTCTGAGGTGCTAATTTCTAACCACTGTGGGAAAAATGTCTTCAGTCCCATTTTTACACTTGAAGAATTAAGACTGAGGAGTTGATAGGAGTGCTATTGGCCCTACCTGAACTACTGTTTTATAAGATAGTTACACTGTAGAAAAGTATTTAAGTTCACATTATGTTTTAATGGTTAAATATTAAGTTCATTGACATATGTCCAAGGTCTACTACTTTGAACATATTTCTTATATTAACGGGAATTATGGCTGAATAACAATGCATTTGTATTTGCCTCTTCCAAGCAACTACTGATACTGAGGACACTGTACACATGTAAAACTAAACAGAAGTCTTAAAAATGAAAATTCTCCTGGGAAAAAAACTGTTGTTCAGCAAGAATGACTGCGAACGTGTCTGCCTGTAAGGTGCCCATATAATAATAGTCTTGATGCTTCGAGGCTTAACTAAACTCATGTACCTTTGCAGACCTAAACTTAAATGAAATTGCCAAGTCATTACTTAGTTTACCAAGCCAAGGCATTCCTTGTGCCTCAGCTAGCAGGAACAACCGCTAAAGCTGCATCAACAGGGGTCAGAGAACACTAGCCAAACCGTTTTCTATTTAACTATCAACACTTTTTCAGTATTAACTGCCTCTACACTTTTTACATATCGCCCACGCTTCTTCTCAGAGTCCCATCCTAAATTATACCATACCACATTTAAATAAAGCCATCTTAAGCAGACAGCTGCCCAACCTTACACCTTGTAAGAACTTTGGTGTGACACTATAGGGAACTACAGGAAAGGTCGCTGACACCACCACTTCTACTGTCCTTCTTGGCGTTTTGCCATTTACATGGAAGATTCTTGAGGGCAGAGACCAGTTCATCACCACGCATTCAATAAAAGAAGGAACAGTTACAGTCTCTCTTCTCTCACTTAACCAGTCTAGTTTTGAGAATTACTACTACCTCTAAAATTCAAAACAATAAGAAAGAATACTGACTAATAAAGAAGCTAGCATCTCTTTACTACCCTTTGTTAACTTTGAAACAAAAAAAAAAAAACAGAGAATGACATTGCATCTTGGCCACATGTTTTAAATGCAGTTTGCAATTTAAATAAAATCCTGTTGCTTTTCTACAGCTTGCTGGTTAATTTGTTGGTCTCTACATCACATTCTGGTCTCCCAGCTAGGTATTAGAGGTTTGCCTTTCTCTGAAATGACGACATCTCTTTCCTTTTACAGTCCACCTTAATTAAATCTCTTTATTATCTGCCATATTGCTCCCAGTTACTGTTAAGCACTCCTTCCTCAAATACACTAACAAGTCACTACCTCTGATAAATTTTATCTGTAATTCCAAAATCTTCTTACACTTTCTAGAGTCCCTGTCAACAGGGCTTTACTGCTTCCCCCACCCCATCTAAATAACTGTCATAACCTACAATTCTTTTCTTTTTGCCATATCCGTTACCAAGTTCTTTCACAAATTAGGTACAATTTTGCCCCTTCTTAATTATCCAATAAAGTTCAATTTCCTAATCACAAAGTTCCAAGAGCAACTATAAGCTATTTCATGTTCTAATACATTACAGACACATTAGAATATATGAACATTCACAGATCTTATTTTTTACGTCACCTTGCCATTTTGTTACCTAATACAATACAAGCTGCTCTGAAGACAAACGAGTAGAGATATAACTAGCATTTAACCTTCCTGTATATGCTCTTTTATTACTAAATCTGAAGGGAATGACCATAACTAAAACTAGTGAATAAGGGCAACTTCATTATAATAAAATTAAATCTGGTTTTGATATTTATTAGGACATACTTGCTCTAAGTCTTCATAATCAGACAAAATTTGGGATATCCTATATTTCTCTGTAACTTCGGCTTGGATGTCAATCTTTACGCGAAGTATTTTAGTTCAAGTACTCAGAGGTCATAAATGAAAATGTGAATGTGAACAATGGAGTGTGAAGTACACTCCCAAATGCAGAACGGGGGAGGGTGCAGCAGCTTCAAAATCAACACACAACTGCTGGAAAGCACACAAACATGACCTTGCAACATGTATCTCCCTAGACTCAAACTTTGATAACCCAGAGAGGACACAAATTACTTAAAGAACTTGTGCTACTGGAAATATAAACTTGTGTCTAGTTAAAAATTAATCAAAACATGCATCATCCATTGGTCTTACAAAGACTGAAAACTTGATCGATGTAACTGTCTGATGGCTCATCTGTGATACCTCAGGCATCACAAATGAACAGAAGGACTGAGCTGAACTAAGTTATAGGCAATAAAAAAAAAAAAAAATTTAACCATGCAGTGAAGTCATGGTACAGAGGTACAAGTAAGAGTCAGAGGGATCATTTCCAGATGGGGAGGGAGAAAGAATTACTGGAAGTCCTTCCATGAAAAGAAGGAAGAATGATGGCAACAGAAAACCAGTTACCCTTACTACAAGGAGAGTTACTAGTCAAAAAAGCAACCACCTTATCCAGACTAAAAACAGAGTCCTATCCAGCAAAAGGACAGTCAGTGAGAAATTAATAGGCCATTGCGAGATACCAAACAGCCAGCCACAAACATTTCAGCAGTTTACCTGTTGCTGGCACTAGCTTGTGGCAAGAAAAATTGTGCAGGTGTCACAGCTGCTACAAAGGCCATTGCCAAAGGCAATCATGGTCCCTTTCACCTTTCTCTCCTGTTTCTGGCCCTGCTGTCCCCGAGGTAGACTGCTACAACAGGGCTTCCAGCAGTCTAAAATTTTTGAGCAGTCTACTATTAAATTTTAAAACTAAACATTGTAATAGGCTCAGGAAGAAATCCACCTGAACTATACATATTTGAAAAGGGTATATTAATGTGAAATATGTAGAACATTTCTTGATAAATGTTTGCTTTTTCTTTCCGTCTGGAAACTGATTAACCTCAGTACTGTTTGAACACAAGCACTATTTTAAGCATATTTAAATAGTAATATCCATCTCCCAGCTATTTCTTTGCTTTATCTGAACCACTGCAGTTCAGATAAACACACACCACTGTCTGGCTCTCCCTAGCAACTGGCTGCACAGAATGTATCTGCACCTCAAATATTAGCCCAGATCATCTTTTAACATAAATAGCTACATGGTAAGCTTCAACTCTCTTAAGCAAGGTCTGCAGCACAGCTTCACATAATGACAAAAATCCACTGAAATATCTAAAGAATACGTTTATGCATGAATGTAATCTAGCCAAAAGCTCCTACGGCTAACTGCCAAAAGCTGGGGTGGATTTCCTCCCCTCATCAGCATTTGCTACCCTTGGAACTGGACACTTGGTCCAAGGGAGAGCTTCTGGCATGGTAATTTTAATGGTCTTGCCTTCTGTTCTCTAGGATATCATTCACAGAATGAAGAAAAGGATTTTCTCAAAGTTAACACAATTTGACAACAAAATATAGCTCCTTTAACTGCCCTTTCTCCTAGTTTATTCTACAGCTGCCTAAGGCAGAAATCATTGACAAGTGTGCAGATTCAAATCTCCTAGGCAAATGATTAAATAAAATGCTGCAACAAGTTACCCACCTAAACTTGCTTTTTATATTCACTATGATTATTCCACCTCTAAGAACTCACAAATTAAATAAAATTCGAGTTTGAACAGTCACATATAACCCTTCAAAAAAATAAACATTTTAAAAGCATTGTAGACTATATAAAATTATTAAAAGTACGTATAAATCTAACCATGAAAATAAAAATCAATATATTTTAATTTGATAGAAGCTTCAATTATGGCAGTATTTTTGATGCGGGCGGAAGGTGCTGTGGAACTCCATTAAGTCTGGTTTTGACTCCAGAACTCTGGAATTCTCTACATCCATCTTTATCTCTAAATCCATCTCAATTCCTCTCTACTGAAATATTTTCCTTTATAGGAAAAACATCTCATTTAAATTTACTGCCATGGCATTAACCAAGCAGTAGCAAACACCTGTATAGCCCCATCTTTGTTTCACTGTGTATTTAACTGATATTGACAAAAAAAAATAATGCGCCTTGCCTCTTTCAATGCACCCCCATAAATTCTACTTCTAGAAGCGCTGTCACACTCTTCCTGCTTTCCCCTCTTCTTACCCAAAAATGTTCCCAATACACCGGGAAAGAGAACACACTCCATGTCAGAGAAGTTACAACAGTTGTCTCATTCTGTTATCATTTATAGTCATATTAGTTTCAAAATACCTTAGCTTTCTTTTACCTCTAAAAGAAAAGCTGCAATACATGCAGAGGGACTGTAAGGCATTTTTACCACTTACTGCTCTTGTACAAAGCTCATGTACACATTCTTACACATCGAAGGAACTGAAGAGCTAAATTTACCAAGACACATGACCGAAAAGACAAAACGAAGACCGTCCTTGACACCTTGAAACCCAGTGATACTGAATTCCGTAGCAAAACAGCATTTACATGCATTACAATCTCATTGCTCGTGATCTCGGAAGAAACTACCTCATGATCTGCATGGCTCTGAGAATCCCCTTTATTAATGCTTGCATCTCGGGCCCACCGCGGAGGTTTCCAGGTTCGCTCCTGTGATCCTCTGTTGTAGTAATAACAGCGTCCTGTTGTATCTTTATGGGTTTCCCATTCCCCATTTATTTGGACCGGAGCACTTGTAGGCAGTGGTGGAAGTGCAGACTGAGATATTTTCAGTTCTTGTAAATTAGCATAAACTGGTGAATCAGGCCTCCCTTGGCTTGGTGGAGTAGTTGGCTATTGAGAGAAAAAATGTATTGTTAAAGAGCAAACAAATTTTAGAATGCTCCCTTATAAATCAGAATATATTACAGCAGTGAAACAAACCAACAAACTCCCTTTTCTTTCTTGTTGAATATAAAAGCACAAAGGACAGCCACAAGATGCTGGGGCGTGAAAATGTCACATTGTTAACTATAAGGTAAATGTCACAAGCTATATTTATTTAATACTAAAAAAAATTTAGCATTTCTCCAGATGACAGCTGATAATTACATATCACAGTGGATTTGAAATACACTGGAATCAAAGTAATTATATGCTTGCCTTGTTGAAAAACTTCAGCTTTCCAGCTCAAGTATTGCTCCAGAAGTTAAAGTAGCATGATCTTGTTCAAAACAAAACGCAGCATTTCTAAGATGCCACTTGTTAGGCAAAGATGGTTCCCCAACCTTTCCCCCTCACTGCTAATACAGGTGATGGCAAATGTAACACAGGCCTTCTCAGCAAGATCTAAACACATAGCGCAGTTGGAAAGATGAGCACAGTGTTTTGACTAAGAAACTCTGGAGAACACCTGGATGGTTTACCTGCACACCTTTCCAAACAGATGCTTACTCAAAAATATTTTAGGTAATATCACTGCGTGTTCCAAATTACCACTCCCTTTTCACAGAAATTATGTGGATATTCTTTCCTATCCAACTAATTTTATTCACACAAGTAGAACAACAAATATCTACAAGAAAACAAAACTCTAATGAGAATTTCTCATTAATAGTTTGCTAGCACAAAGGTCAGCAGAAAGCATGGTTAAAAGTCCATGGCACTCACTGAAACCATGAGTACTTTCAAACAAGGCACCAAAGTGTTTAAGAAATGCTGTTAAAATTGAGCATCTGGAAGTGTATAACGCAAATATATAAAACACACCACGCAGAATGTAAGAGCATGTGTTTTTTCACAAGAGGTGTGATTATGAGATTGTGAAAACAGCTTGTTATTAAACCAAATGGAATAGTTTCCTGGTAATGCACTGCCATCTCTGTGTTTTAGGGCACATCATTTAGGCAAGGAACTATACCATTTACACCATCCCTTCCCTCTGCTCAGTTTTAACTCGGAAGCTTTGCTGGAGGCAAGTCCTTGTGCCTCTTGTTGCATCTTTCACAGGAAAAAAAATAACACACTGCATTACATAAAAGACCTTTTATAATGTACTTTTAGACACTAAAATCATAATCTGCTAATCTAAGCCACATCTAATCATAAATGATTGGTGTTTGCTCAAGCAAGACAGCATATCATACCACACAATCAGATATAAACTGATTGCACCACAGCTAGAACCAAATATGGGCAGTATCTACAACCAAAAGGGGAAACAGCTAGAGAGGAACTTAATGAGATTAAAACGGGCATGGACTTGTTTTGTGTGCCTTTAGCAGAGAAAACACAGCTCATTCGATCCAGCAAGTACAGTATGTTTAAGGCAAACCACAAGGCGCGGGGGGAATTGCAGTACTAGAAAAATCAGAGAGCCAAAACCAATTAGTATCCTCCTGTACCTAATTCAGAGGAAAAACAAGTCTGTTACAAAACTTGATGAAGAGTAAAAGACTGGTTTTCTACTAAGTATCCAAGTCTCCCATCCCCCCACCTTTTTCTTTCACAGGGGCAGAATGGCTGCCTTCAGTAATGCTGCTCCCGAGAGCACTAACAGCATACAGAAGGCTATTATGAACAAAGCATCACCCCGCTGTCTTCAGGGACACACTCGACTCCCCGCATCCTGGGAGAGTAACCTGGACCAGCTCCCAGGTGCCGCTCACACCTCGCCGAGGCCGCCTCGCTCAAGAACAGTTTCTGCCCGGCTGCTGTGGTGGAGGGTCGAGCCTTGCACAACACCCCCGTCCCTGCAGCACCGCTCCTACGTGCCAGACAGTGAGAAGGCTCTGCTGGCTGGCCTGCATCTGCCAGTTGCATTTTTGTTTTAATTAAAACAATGAAGTGCCATTATTAAAAGAACAGTTCATAGAATCATAGAAGCATTAAAGTTGGAAAAGACCTCCAAGATCATGAAGTCCAACCATCAACCCAACACCACCACGCCTGCTAAACAATGTCCTGAAAGTTCTGCGTATTAATAAACGTTTTCCAAACAGAAAGCCTATGACATAGAATGCTTGATACAGTTCTTAGAACATTTTCTCAAGCAACACATAGGAATACGGCTCCGGGGTTTCACACTGAGGTTTTCAACACTTTCAGCATTATAACCAGAATAACTCCAGATGAAGCTGCAGCAAATGTTTGTGCTAAGCCAATACTGGAAGCTCACAGCCAACGCACTGCCACATAACTTGGGCAGCATACTAGTTAAGTTCAAAACAGTAACATGGTATGAAAGCGTAACAAAGAGTTTTCTTCCAAACGCTTAGTACTTCCAAACTCAATACACCAATTTCTGGTTTTCAAGGCAAAGCCAGAACTTCTGTCCTCAACAACAAACAAGACAGCTAATTGTCCTGCCAACCAAGCCTCCAGCCACTTCCACTGCCTGTTGCTCTCTCTTCCAACAGATTTTTCAGGGAGAACTGCAAGATTTTTGAGATACACCTCTAAGTTACTGCTTTCAGTGAAGCATAGTAAAAATGCAAAGCCATCAATCTAACTACAACACACAGCTTAGCTCACACATATGTCTCTGAGGGATACAACCTTCCTACCAGGAGCTATTTTAAATAACCACGTAGCATACACTAATACTTCCTCATACCTCGAGCCACCCAGTAAGGTATTTTGTTGTCTCTACAATAATGCTCAGTTCAACAGCACCCAGACTTATCAAGGCTAACTTTGCGAAGAATTTCTCATTTAATCGATGAGAAAGCAGCTTTTAGAAAGCTCAAAATTTCCTGAAGTTAACCCTGGTGTACTTTAGGAAGGCCAGTCCTCTCCCCGGACCCTGGGAAGCGGAGGCCTGCGGCGAGGCAGGTCCCACTGCACAGTCCTGCAGAGCTCCCACGCCCCGCACCGCCTTGCAGGTTCAGGGCAGATGACTGCTTTGAGTTCAAGACTGTATTCTGCAAAAATCTTTCATAGATTCAAGCAAAAAACATACTATTTTAAATGTATTCCTTTCATTTACCAAACCCATTACTCATCATCAATGTATAAATCCAAACAGATAAAGCACTACCTAGATCAAAATAGTTTCTGACCACTTCCATGGCTGTTTTCCCAAAACCAGACATAAGGGAAACAAATACGCACTAAATACTAAGCAGCTCTGCATGTACATGAGGACTTCCAGCCAAAACTTCATTCCCTGAGCTTTGGTTTTGCACTAACAAGCTCCAAATGCTCATAAACATGGAATTCAAACTACCGAAGGAGATGCCTTGTCTTCTCATTATCAGCATCACAAGAACATGTCCTTCAACATGCCCACGCACGCACACACAAAATGCCTTATACTCAAAACATTTCAACATTCATTTGCTGTTTGATATGGATTTCAGACTTTTTTGTGTTGCTTTCTCCTGCTAAGAACAGTGAAGGACTTTTGCTAGAAAAGTGATAAAGAAAAATTAGAAAGCAGAAATACTTCGACAATGTCACAACTTGAATGAAAACTGTACAGCCCTTTAAGCAGTATGACAATTTCATGAATAGAAGCACCTCTCCCTGATCTCAGCAATGCTCAGTATTTTAACACTTTAGAAGTCTGACATCTTTAAGTTGTCACATGGAGAAGTCTGCTAGCAGTAAATCCTTGCAAATTGATACGGAAGAGTTTTGTGCAGGCAGGACAAAGTCTCCAGGATCAACACGCAACATTCTTCAAATAAGGACTGTACACACAGCTTTTTTCAGACCATGGTTTTTACACAGACATAGTAGGAAGCAGATACATGCCTTTAAATAAAACAACCTGTTAATCATTTATGAATGAACAGTCAACATCTTCAACAAAGGCCGCAGATACACCATCAGGCCTCTGAACACTTGAACTCAGTGCAATGAAAAGCAAACTTACTATACTTCACAAGGTACTTTTCATTACCAAAATGCATATCAGCTTCTCAGAGGATCCCTTAAATTTTAATGTTATCGTATACAAATGGTTTTTTTTCAGATGGCAGTGTTTAAGCATTCAAAATTGAAGCAAACTTAAACAAAAAGGTTCAGTGCACTCCAGGGAAGACTGCAGTTCTGGGAGAAGCAAGGAATACAGATATCATCCCTATGCATCAACTAAAAATGCTTTTGGTTTATTTTCATGCAATGAGAACATACTGCATTGAGGATGCCAGCAATTAAAAGACAGAAAACAGTTTCCTTGAAACCAGCAATTATCTTTTTCCTGTTACAGCACTTAAATCCAAGACAAAAACTTGTAGAACGTAACAACTGCATAAAGAATGACTGCAACGCTAGCCTGCAATACACGACCTACCACATTTTCTCTCCTTTACAGACAAATTGCTTTAGCTGTGCCTCTGTTTGCAGCTTTTCTTCGTGTTATAAACTTGAAATTAAAGGCTTCCATTTCAGTAGCAACATTTGGATTGCTGAAGCTAGCTGCTAAAAGTGAAAAAAGAAAATTTTTAAAAAAGCAAATCTCATCTTATTCTTTCTAAAGCGACAAGCCACAGATCGCTCATGCGAAAGAGCAGCATTACACTGAAGTGAGGGAACAGCAGCTCTTTGCAGCAGCAAGCCAAAGAAAGGAGAACAGGCACATCCCACAGCATCCCGAGACAGGGAGCGAAACATCCCAGTTCCCTCAACAACTGAGCTTCTTGCCAAGGAATTGCCACTGTCCTTTTAGGAAGGTCTGGGACTTCAATACCAGCTTTATTCAACAGGAACAATATAAAAGAAATCTCAAAAACCCTACAGTTTCATTTTCACGAAGCGACAGCTTCAACTGGAATAATTAGCTCATCTCCTTCCTCTTTCTGCTCTTGGCTTATGTTTTCACAAACATCTTCTGGACCCTACTTTCTAAC